TATTTAATTAATAGAAAATAGTTTTTTTTTGCTTAAACTGTTTAGTTTGAATTTTTGCATTAATATTCTTTTATTCATGTAAAGTACTCCACATATATGCGTTTTTTTTGCTTAGTGATTTATACAGAAAAACAAATTAAGTTTATTAATTTGACGTACCTAGTCCCCGTGAACCGTTTTACGTGTCCTTATTTGCTTTGCTTATAAATATAATACTAATAATATAATTGAAATTTCAACATAGACTTAATTTTTTAAAAATAGAGTGAGAAGTGTCTTCTAATTGTCAATTTGTTATCCGTATTTTCGGCGTAAGTTCCTTTGACAAAAAACTTTTGACTAACTAATTTTTGACATACCCAGTAGTATTGCTCCCCCCCTCCTTCCCACCATCATAATTTTTGTTCCAAGAAAGAGACAGTTATTAACTCTTGCACAGTCTGACGACGCCTAACTACAGATTTCAAACTATTTGGAAGACGACCAGCAAAAAAACCGTTATTGACAAAGGTACAATTGGCAAAAAGGATCAAGTTTTGTAAGGCCTTTAAAGGTAAACTTGTAGAATGGTGGGACTCAGTAATATTTAGCAACGAAAGCACATTCCAGCAGGTCAGGATATCAGGTTACAATTATGTAAGACGTCCAGCTGGACAGCGCATGAATCCAAAGTATACACTGAAAACAATTAAGCACCCCGAAGTGTTATGGTTTGGGGGTGTATCTCCAGTCAGAATGAATGTATAGCACAGCTAGACTGAATGCTCAGTCGTATATTGATATTTTGAATAGAAAGTTAAAGGTATAGATGAATATTACAAATACTACAATATTCCAACAAGATTCGGCACCATGCCATGTTGCTAACAAAACACAGAACTGGTTTACGACAAACGGCGTTATGACATTGAACAACTGGCCATTAAGTTCACCGGAATTAAACGTAATAGAAAATTGCTGGAATTTAATGAAAAAGAAAGTTGCGGTACACCAACCCAAGTCAGTAAAGGACCTGAAACGTATTGTGAAGGAAGTTTGGGATGAAGGAAATTACGTCGAATTATTGTAAAACTCTGGTTCGTAGCATGCCTCCACGTATTGATGCAGTGTTGAAAAACCGTGGTTTTCCAACCAAATATTAGTGCATAGACTGATAAATAACAAGGACTCGTACGTTACACATTGTGCTATATCAATTAATAAATTTGCCAAACATTTACGTTAAAAAGTATAATTATTCTCTGTTGTGTTGAAGAAAACATGTGAAATTTCATGTGGCCTTAATTTTTTGCACACTACTGTATATTCTTCTTAATATCGTTGTTTTTTATCTGCTATATTTTTCAGTTGGCTTTACATTGGCTGTATAAAACACTTTAATGGCATAAAAAACTTTATAACCAACATGAGGTGTGCATTTAATTTGAAGTGCTTTAATTTTTGAAAATAATATTTTCATTAATTTAAACTTGTTTGCAACTTTTTGAAAATCTTTAAAATCCTGCGGATGCATTTGAATAATTTTGAATAGCTTTTTTCTGTTTATTGTGAGCAAAAGTCTCATCAATGAAATTAATTAGTAAAATTGAAATAACTGCAGTATTTTTCTATTTGACTATGTTATCAACGACCTGAACTGCTTAATGAATTGGTTGCTGTACATTATAATATATTTAACTAACTGGTGTTGAGTCAAAGAATAAATCATGGTTGTTATCATAACTATATTGCGGTTTTGAGGAACACAGCCATCACTCCATGTTCAAAAACAAAAGCATTATGTATTTTGTTTTTCAAAGTTGAGATTATCTGATACAAGATATCAGATGTATCTTTTATCAGGTTATAATAATCTAATATTAGGTTATTATAAACCATAATGTTTGGGGTAAAGTTATCTTAGTAAAGCCATGATCCAAGTAAGTATTGTGAATTTCAAAATAGGTATCACAGATGTAATGACTTGCAAAGCTGCTCAATTTTATGGCTTTTTATTAAAAAATTTGTGCTGGCAAATTAAGTAATGTTAAGCTTTAGGAAGAATTTCTGAAACACCATCAAAAATTTTACTTGTTACTAAGTCCACTTGCAAGATCATATTCTTTCTGAAGTTACTTCTAGACGCACAACACAGTACTTTTTAACTATTTTATTAAATTTAAAGTGTACTGTCAGATTGTATATATTTAGTTTTCTTTCGTAAGAAGAGCTACTAGTTACGGCTTTCAAAAACTAAAGACTCCATAACTAATTATCCATTTGATTGTTATGGTCACATGTTCTTTTGTTGCGTGTTGCTTTTTTTTCCTGAAAATTAACTTGATATATCTCTTCCATGTTTTTTTTAGGTTGATTTTTTTTTTTGCTACTTCACAAGCACCACATCTGTCTTTTTTTGTTTTATGAAAACTTAAATTAAGTGAAAGTTAAATATGATTCTAATATAGTACTTTTTAATTTTTTTATTTCTTGTCTACTACTATTTTTTATTTCTTGTCTTGTCTACTATTATTTTTTATTTCTTGTCTACTACTATTTTTCATTTCTTGTCTTGTCAACTACTATTTTTTATTTCTTGTCTACTACTACTTTTTATTTCTTGTCTTGTCCAACACTACTTTTTATTTCTTGTCTACTACTCTTTTTTATTTCTTGTCTACTACTAATTTTAATTAAGAGCTGATTCTCTATCACGTTCAAACATGTGGTTAAGTACTACCTGACAAATAAGAAACACCTGGTGCTTAACGACCTACAGTAGTGACTATCGACTGCTGGGAAAAAATTTATAAAGCGAATTACTTTATTTTTGATTTCATCTGAAAGCTCTCGTTTAGTATGTTTCCCTCTAATGTCTGCTTTTGGCGTACTAGTCAAAGGGTTCTTAATTTATGCACACTTTAAGTGTGCATAAATTAAGAACCCTTTATTAGATGGCAGATTTGATGCCAGCTCCAGCCCAACAAGCAACATTGGTACGGAAGGAGGCGTGATTTTCTTGTTAAATGCTCTCCCGCGGTGCTCTGTGATAAGACCGTAAGAACTTCTGGGAGCACCTAAAATAACTAGAAAAAAAAAATAATAATAAATAAATTTTTTGACTAACACGTGGTAAAAAAAAAGTTTTGCAAACTCTGATTTCTTTATTTGCGATAACAAAATAACATTGAAAAAAATATCGTCTAGTGAAAAACCTACTTTAGTCTGATGAGTTATTATAATTAGTCATAAATAAAAAAGTTTTCACGATTTTTGTCCATATTGTAGTGACTGGTTAAAAAAAATTCTTTGCTCATAGGTAAGTTTTGTGTTGCATTAATATTTTCGATTTTATTTTACACGTTTCAGAAACTGTTTTGGTGGAACTTTATTTTTTGCATCGCTAATACAAGACTCTCCAGACTGGCACATTTTCCTACGCGTTTTTTTTTAATTTTTAATTTTAATTTAATTTTAATTTTTTTTAATTTTGTGGCTGTCTAGATCTTTTGTTTTAGTTTTCTTTTTTTTTTTACTGCTTATTTCATAAGACTATTAAAATTAACTAAAAAAAAAAACTTAAACAATGGAAATACAGAAGGTTGCGAACAATGGTTATAAAACTTAATTAAAATTACGTCATTGTTGTCATCAATTAAACATAAATATGACAGTGATTCGTAATTTTAATACTTAGATTTTGTAAACTCTGTTATTAAAATATGGTTGCTAAAACTTTACTTGTTTGACTTCATATTATCACTGTGATAATTTTCATAATTTGAATCACCACTGTCACCGAACGAAATATTCTGATCAAAATCTTTATTAATTGCATTTAAAACATCTTAGAAAAAAAAAATTTATTAATTCTGCAAGCAGCCATCTTTAAGTTAAGTCTCTCAATTATTTGGTTAGTTTCAACATAATATTATATAATTTTTAAGAAAATGTTTTAACAGATGATCGACTTTATCTACATCATAATTATGTAAATAACTCAAATTTTTCCAAAGGGTCAGTTCGAATCTTATAATTCTCATGCCACGAATTACTTAAATAATTAAGACATATAAACCACGAATTACTTAAGAATATAATTATGACATATAAACCTCTACAATTTAACTCTTTTTTTTTATAATTCTTTATTTTATATTTATTGTTTAGCTTCATACAATATATAAAAAAGAAAAAAGTACAAATGAGTATATTAATAAAACTAAAAACTAAAGAATGTGGAGACTGAATGAAGACCATTATGTCGCAAAGAACCGCGATAGAAACGCAGAGAACCGCGAAAATTATCAGTAAAAAACAAAATATATAGAAAGAAACAAAATACCAGAAAAATACTATTTCCATAAAAATATGAGGTAAGAATTCGATAAATTGTTATATGTTATATAATATATTTATAAAGTATTCATTTGACATAAAAGTGTTAAAAATATAAAAATGTCTTTAATAGAAAAAAAGATTTCGTTTAGTTTTTTTTTTTATTTTGAATAAAGGGTAATTTAACTCGAAAGAAAAATCAAAGTTTTCAAACTATTCTGTACCAAAGAAAAGCTCCTTAAAATGAAATAAAAAAAACTTGACTTTCCAAAATTAGATCGAATAAAAGGATGTTGAATTAAATTATCATTTCTTAAATTGCATTTACTTTTATTTTTTAAAGAATAATTAAGAGATAAGTTAGTTTTACATTTTTACATAAAAGTTTGTTTTATACCGCTTCCCCTCATAAGGACGGCCTGGATTTGCCTGGATTGTCAAACTCCAGAGGCGTGCCACACAAAAACTCACATGCATTTTCCAACTGTTAGTCATTTTTTTGTTGCCAACAAACAGTTTTTGGTATGGCAAAGTTATTGCCGCAAAATAATTCTACTATTATTGAAAAAAAGATTACATAAATTTAAAAAAAATTGGTAAAAGACTCAATGAAACTCGAAATTTAAAACAATTTTGCAAGAATTTAAGAAAAATAAGAAATAAGAAGAGATTTTTTTTCAAAATTAACAAGATTTATAGTAAACGCTTAGTCAGAGTTAAATCAGGTGGCTTACTCTAACTTTTATTTTCCTCCCAAACGCTTCCGTTTCCGATACCAATACTTGAATAATGTATTTGGTAAACTTAACACTTTGAAATTATATCAGTTTAACGCTTTGTGAAAAAGTATGTTCATCATCAAAAGAAATTAATTTTTCTTTCATTATAAATTAAAAAAAGTTAAAAAACTACTATTGATAATTAAAAAAAGTTTTTACTTAAAATAGGTGCTTTTTTATTTTCATAAAAAAAGGTGCTTTTATTAAAAAGAAAGCACAAAGTAGTTTAAACCAAAACTATTTTCTATTTACTAAAAATTTAGATTAACTTGAGAATACAATAACATCAACCAAATATTTATAACAGAATTTAGAAGCTTTTGCGTACATATAAGTAATAACTCACGTGAACCACAAGATTTTCTTATTGTGTACTAATTTTCTTGTTTAAAGACTTTGAAATAAAAAAATGCGCAAAAACAGCGTTAAACAAGCAAAAAGCAGTAAGGAGATAAAATGCAAAATATTGGTTAAATGGAAAAGGCAAATGTTTAGACTTTATATTTGACAACGACCAAGAGAAAACGCTTCCAAATAGAGCAGGACCAATAGACCTACAGTAAAATACAAAAAAAAAAAAAAAAATTAACAGCAAAACTTAAGATAAAAATAATTGAAACATTATTTGTTACTTATTACACTAACCATGCAAGTTATTAAACAATGTTTATTAAATATTTAAATGACACCTAAATATCACATTAATAACGTTGTCAACGTATTAACAAACATTTAAACTAAAATATTCAACTTGTTTATTAAAATATATTTGTATTGTATATTAAAATATATTTTTATAACTAAAATATACAGTTTGTATACATATAAATGCTTTGTATTAAAAAGTATTTGAAATTTAAAATATATGCAAAGAATTTGAAAAAAGGTGGAGATTAATTAACCTTCCAATAGAAGATATACTCCCACCCAAACCAATGATAGTTCCTTGATATTCGGGAGGTGCAGAGTTTACAACAAACATATTAACTGTAAGAAAACAACCACTTATTAAGGAATGAATACCTACGATGCATATCGCAATTAAAGACCAACGAAGACCGCTAAAAAATAGTGTAATAATAAAAAAAAAAAAGATATAAAAAGTAAATAATAATAATAAATTTTATTCCTTTGAATATGAAATAACTATTACTTATTATTTAATATATTTTTTAGATATTCGGTATTTCATGGCTGACAATTGTTGAAAAGCATGGAATATTTGCTGTTGCAAACTTATCATTAACCGACATATAGGTTTAGTTTTTTTTTTGTGCTAGAAGGATAGTAAGGATAGAAAATGAATTCAAAAATTTGTTTGTTCAACTTTTACAGTTTGATCTGCTGCAAGTACAACATTAACTTCAAGATTAACCATTGTAGATTTGCATTAATATTGTAGATTTTCAAAATGAAATCATTTAAACTGGCGATATTTGATTTTGTGGTATGCTTAATGTGGTAGATTTTTAAGTATTGTACTATATAACCAATGCACAACCTTCTGTCTTGCTTTACATGAAATAACCGACATCTTAACATCTTAAAAATTTACAATTCTTTTTTTTTTTTTTTTTTTATTTAGATAATGAAAAAATATTTTTTTCATAAACTCTCGTTTTAACTCGAATACAATAAGATGAAATAAAAAAAGCAAGCATGAAATTTGTCATACTTCAAATCTAAAACTTGACTTTATTGTACACAAAGAACTTTAGCTATACTTAAAAGCCAGCGGTTTTTAAGTTAAACTTAAAAAAACAACTTGAAAAAGCAAAAACCATATCTGAATACAAGAAACTTGAAGTTTTAAGTCTTAAGTCTGAGTTCTAAAAAAAGTGTAATGCGAACTTGAAACGAATTCGCACTTGATAAATAAGATTTCAAGTCGTTTTTCTAATTTTGGTACCAATCAAATTTAAAAGCAAACTTAAAAATAAATAAACAAATTGCCATTATCATTTTGTAAATATGTTGTGAAATGTTGTATAGGAGTATCTATTTTCAAAATATATTTGGAAATATGTTTATGAATTACAGATGATTCATTATATATGTACAGTATACAATATAGTTGTTTATTATATATGTACAATATAATATTTCACTAGTACAACAGCTGTCAATTTCATTTTGGTTTTATGCTATTGGTTTATTTCAGGTGAGAAAGTATTCATATTATCATTATAATAATATTATCATAACTATACTTATAACAAATTAATTATATATAATAAAATAAAATTAAATAAATTATATAATAAAATTTTGTGGCGCTAATATTTTTGAAGAAGATATACCACTGTTGTTAAAAACATTAGTGAAATAAAATGCCGACAGAACAGCAAGTTTGCATCAAATGTGAAAAGCAGAAAGAAAATTCTACACAGGAATTCGACTGCAGAAAAGAATTTGGAAAATGCGTTGAAAAATATTTGACAAAGATAGTTGAAAACCCGGAACTCAAAAATTTACCTAATTGTTTATTATAACTGATACGAAAGGTGAATGGCTGTGTCAGGAAGATAAAAAAATATATGGTCTGCAAATATCAACAAATGGAAGAGCTGGATATTGTGCCACTATTGAAGATTCTGAAGGTATTCATCCAAGAAAACTAATGTTGTTAAAGGAACAAACGTCCATCAGCCAAGACCAAGATTTCTTTGAAAAAGTTAGTGAGGGAGATCATTCAGAAACTAAAACGCAGTGTTCCAGCAGTGATACTGAAGCTGAACTGTCGAAGGTTCGTTATTATAACCTATAAAACAAAAAACAAATACAAGAACAAAAATTGATGAAGCAACACTCTTACAGGAAAAATTCAAAACCATTGGACTAGAAAATCCTGCTTTTATATTGCATGCCATCACCATATTGTATATATGCTTTTGAAAAATATCATAAATGATAGTTTTGACGGATCATCAACATCACCAAATTACTACTTGACTTTGTCTACTTGAAAACCAGCTTGCTCGCCGAATTAATTTAACAGAACAGAGAAAAAAAAATCATTTTTCTTAGCAAATTCGTCAAAGCACGTTTGTTTTTCATATTAAAAATATCCTTGGTTTGAATTCTTTATTAAAATTTACTACGGTGTTGTTTATTTGCAAGCATAGGTGTAGTGAAATTAAACTCCCTTAAAAAAGAAATGCATTGTAGCAAGCATTAAAACAGAGTTATCAAAACGGTTAACGAATACTTGAGATTGTGTTACCGAAAGTTGATGATATGCAATTGGAGATGGAACAGCCAATATTCTTAAATTTTTTAAGATGAATTGATATTGTTTGTTATTTTTTTTAATTTTATAAAATTTACTAAAATTAGCAAAATTGGTAATAGTTTGTGTACAAATGAATAAATTTTTGTTATTTATTTATTTTGTTGGCAGAATAAAACGAGCAGGCTGATAATTTTTAATATAAATGATAAGTTTCTTTACAAATTTATACAGATAACATAAAGTTTCTGCATCACTTTGATTACATATTAGACACCCCTATTTGGTTTTGTATCTTTATTACAGCTGGTTTCTTTTTCCAGTAATTCTTCAAACAAGTGACTAATTGTGGTTAGTTGTTACCTTCTCTGATAACATTTTGTGCATTTAGACAACTGCTTTATTCATATCCTGGTGTTAACTCTAGTTGAATTAGCAATAATCAATTAAACTCCGTAAGTTGAATTCATTAAGAACTAGCACTATTATATTAAGTGCGGCCATAGCGTAAGTAGGAGATCCAGGTTCGAAACGAGCTCTAGAAATATTTTCGCGTCATGGTAAGCAAGGAGGCATGAACTTCCTGGTTAAATGCGCTTTCGCGGTGCTCTGCAACAAGACCATTAGGTCTTTATGGGGCACCTAAAAATAATAGCGTGTTTGTTTTGATGTTAGAGGTTATCTTTTTCCAATTTAAAGAGTGAACAATTTCTTTTTGTGTAACTTTACCTATTGAGTACCTACATTACCTTTGCCTTTCACTTTTTGTAAAGTTTTTTATTTTTAGTGGATAACCACTGACCGTATTTATTATTATTATTTTTTTAGTAATTTAAAAAAAAATTTGCCTTAAAAGATCTTTAACACCTTGTAAAGCTTTTAATTGAACTAAATCAAACAAATCTAAAACAAACAGGAAAATTAACTATATTTCTTTATAACATCATAACTTTTTTAGAAATTTTATCTTTGTGAGACAAAAGTAACTTAATTTAAAGCTAAAGAATTCTTCTACATTTTTCTTCTAGTGATAATTCTTTAAATAGCACATTTTCTCTTTTTCTGTGTGACTGCGAAAGTCAAACTAGATTGTTGGGATACCCTTGTTTAATTTTACACAACATTTTATGTGCAACACTATATACTTCTTCATTAAGCTGCTCAGACTGCAATAATATTACTTGTTTGATAACAACTTATTATAAAAACAGTTACACAGTTGTTAGGTATTTTTAGGTTTCGATTGTTCTAGAAAAACCTCTAGAATGTTATGAAAAATGAAGAAAATTGCAAACTTCCAGAAAGTTCTAAAAGGTTTAGAACAGTTCTACAGTGTTTCAAAAAGTACTAGAGTGATTTAGAAAGCTGCTGGAAGTTCAAAAAAGGTCTTATAAGTAGTAGTATTAAGTCATAAAATACATAAAGTATTTTTACGCAAGAGTAACAAAATACCCATTTTAGAAAAATTCCAAAAGTTATAACTTGATGTATATGCAAACAATTAGTCTTAAAATACAAATAAAATTACTTGTTTGATATCTTGACAAATGTAGGTATAAATAGAGATAAACAGCCACATAAAACAACCCAACATATAAATAACTAAACCAAAAAAAAAAATATGCAGAAATATAAAATAACATATCTAACAAACAAGAGAACAAATGAGTTCTTAACTATCTTTTTTTGAAAAATATTTTAAAATGTTTTAATATTTCTAATTTATCATTTATATATGACTATGTATTACTTACGTGGTATATAAATATCTAAAGTCATCATAATCATCATCCTGATCATAATCATCACTATCCTCATACTCATCATTATCAACAAAATGTTATACTTTCATAACTCTGGTTTGACAAGCGAAAGATATAAAGTTTAAAATAACTACTTACCTGCAAGTACCGCTCAAAACTTGTTTCTCTTTGCTGCAGTCTTGTTTGTTAGATTTTTTTTAATTCAAGCCCTGTAATGTATTTTGACATTTTGAGATGTTAAGCTAAGTCTTTAAACTGTTTTTTTAATTACATTTAACTCCTTAATGGCACTACTAAAAATCATGAGATCACCTAATTTTGTTTTAGAGTTACAAGAAGGTTTTAACAACAATTTTAATTAATTAAAATTGTTTTTAAAACCTTCTTGTAACTCTTTAACTATGAAACACAAGCCTTAAATGGTACTATAAACAACAAAATAGAACTCGTAAGCTCTTGTTTATGAAGTAAGCGGTATACCACTACTACGACTATCTAATTGCTATTCATTGCAATTCTCAGCTTTGTAGAACAAATAAACAAGAATATTATTAGATAGTCCATCGTTAAACTTATAATGACAACCTTATCTTTTAGCAGAAAAATTTAAATAATTAGGATCAGGTTATATTATTGGGAGAGCAATAGGACAACAATAGCATGTTATGAGCTGGCATTAAAAAAGTATTTTACTCTGATGATTGGAAAAACTTTTTTTTTACACCCCCCTCAACATAGCATTCATATTTTTACATATCCCCCCTCAACATAGCATTCATATTTTTACACATCCCCCCTCAACATAGCATTCATATTTTTACATATCCCCCCTCAACATAGCATTCATATTTTTACATATCCCCCCTCAACATAGCATTCATATTTTTACATATCCCCCCTCAACATAGCATTCATATTTTTACATATCCCCCCTCAACATAGCATTCATATTTTTACATATCCCCCCTCAACATAGCATTCATATTTTTACATATCCCCCCTCAACATAGCATTCATATTTTTACATATCCCCCCTCAACATAGCATTCATATTTTTACATATCCCCCCTCAACATAGCATTCATATTTTTACATATCCCCCCTCAACATAGCATTCATATTTTTACATATCCCCCCTCAACATAGCATTCATATTTTTACATATCCCCCCTCAACATAGCATTCATATTTTTAATGCTCCAAATTTAACTTAAAAAAATTACTCTGATTTTTGGTTTTCATCGTTGTAGACTCTACAACGAGAATTTTTTAACTTTAACCATGTCCTCGAGAATTGTTTAACTTTAACCATGTATAATTACCAAACATAAATTTATAGATTGTTAATGTGCACCGCTTTAATAATATCTTTTTTGACATTTGAGGTAATTAAGTTGTGTATGCAAATTTAAATTAAACGACAAGTGAGTTTAAAAATGTTAAAAAAAAATGTTTAAAATATAAAAATTAACAATTTGAAACAAAAAACTAAAGAACTATTAGGAATATTTGAAATTCGAAAAATATTATATTTCAATTTAAATCCTTATCAAACTAGTTTTGTTTTTTTTGTTTCCATTCGATTGATTTTTAGATTAAAATTTTTCTTAAGGGAAATTTCGAGCGGAATTGCATTTTCAGTTTTTAATTTGCACGCGCGATCGTATGAAATTCCATTCAAATAAATGGAATTTCATTCTATTGCGCTTGCAAATTTAAAAAAAAAATCATTTAAATTGTTATTTTTGATTGTAGTTAGTGCTTTGTTTTAATTTTGTTTTTTGTTGTCGTTGTATGTTGGTAAAAAACTAGGTAATATTCCTCGAACTCTTAGAAAAATTTATTTTCTAATCGAATAGGAACTACTAAGCAGTACTAAAGATTCTTTAGATTTGACTTCTAGTGCTATTTTCTTATATATTTCTTTATAGAACGTGTTTTTAATATTTGGGGCCCCTTAAATATTAAAAACATAGAGCCCAGTGCGATTACACTTGTTGCACTTGCGAAAGTATGGCTCTGACTGCAATTAATGAGGTAAAAGAATAAATATAAATATTGACACTATGTTCACCCGCCGTATTTTAGACTGCCAATCTTTATTTCTTTTTTTGTTTTACAATGGTTGCAAAATTTGTTTTACAAAGCGTTCTAATGTAAATCATTGTTTCCGGGAAAAAGACAAGATTTATTTCGTCACTACTTAAAGTAACAATCTAATCCGCCTAAAAATAAACTTAGCTGTGTAAACTATACTTTGCAGTATCTGCAGTAGTATATTGATTGGTTTGCAAATGTACTGTGTTGTATCAGGATTTAACAAAAGTATTTTCAAATAACTATTTTTTAGTCATGATATGTAAAGTACAATATAAAACGGTTTTTTCAATTATACTTTTAGAGTATGGCTTAAAACTTGATTAAAAATGTTTTGAATTCAGAACATTTGAGAAGTAGATTTGCAAAACCAGATAATTCAAACTTTTTTAATTCCGAGATGATGACAAAAAACGTTTTTCAGTAAATCTAACTACTAAAAATTTAAAAATGTAATGTTAAACAGAAGATATAATAAAAAGATTGTTTTAGAGAAAAATTTGAAAATCATACTATTTTTATTTTATTTTAATTAAAAAATTAAAAAAAGTTTTACCTGCTTTTGCTTGCCAATTTTTTTTAATTTGGTTTCGATTGGAATTTTATTTTTTTAACTAGTTTTTAAAAACAATTTTTAAGATCACCTTGACTAGTGACTATTGTAATAATAAATATGAAGGGTTTCATTTAGATAGGGTAGGTTCAGCACCAAATTTTGGGGGTGGCAAAAGAGGCAAGTTGTTTAGAGGCAACATCAACAAAAAAAAAACTATCGGCTTCGCATATATTTGACCAAAATGTCAGAAAAAAGGTTTATCAGGGGTGACAGGACAAATTTTGCATGATGCTGGCAAAAAGGGTAAGGCTGGTATCACACCGAGAGGTATAAAAAACCCTTGGGCCTTGGAGAGATCTAGCAATAAAATTGTTTGATACCTTTATAGGATTGATTAAGGTAAAAAAATTAAAACTATTTTAAATTAAAAAACAATGAATTTAATAAAAGATTTTTCTATAAATATACTGCACATTGTGGTTAGTGAGTAGTGTGTTAAAAAAGAAAAAAAAACTGTTTTTAATTTATATATATATATATATATATATATATATATATATATATATATATATATATATATATATATATATATATATATATATATATATATATGTGTATATAGTTTACAAAAAATTAGTAAACTGATTTTATGTGTTAATAATATATAATATATAACCAATGTCTTCTTCATCACAAATACACTCATTATTGATTTTGAAATTTTCATCAGCTACATCAGCTGATGATATCAGAGTTGAGTACACTTCTGTTCCAGGTATTATTTTCCACTCAACTCCATAAACAATAGTTAGTAAACGATATATGTCTTTGAGCTTTGCTGAGCTAATAAAACAATTTTCTAATATATTTGTTGGATTGAATGCATGAGTTTTTCCTCTCTTAAGAATTGAATTGGATGACCTAAATTCCATTTGTAATTGATTTCTGATTGCACTGTAACTATAATTTTTTTTTTGTTTGTGAACATTTTTACTTAATATAACTCTTTTAAATTGTAAAAATCCAACAAAAGGCTTTTATGTCAAATTGGACGACCTTTTATAGTCTTTTACAAACCATTCAATGTTAAGTCTGTTTACAGTATTACAATGACTTGAGAAAATGGCATGAAAACCACTGGGCTCTAGAGTTTCATAGTTTTTCTTTCAGAGTTTTTTCAATTCAGCTAAATTATCTATCACATAGTAAATATGTATGTCCTCTCACTGGAAAAATTATTTTAACATTCTTCATGTGATTTGGTGAATTAAAGAGCCAAACTTGTGCCATTGCTAACTCAATATTGTTTTTATTTTGACCTCCACACCCATCACTAACTAAACGAAGTGTGTCAATTTCATTAGTGAAATGTAATCAATTTGGCATATGTGTTGTTAGAAAGTGATACACTGCTCTGGTAACTTCATTCGATCCTCTACCTGATTGGGTTTCTAACCAGGTGTATGAATGGTTTAATTTGCTATTCAAATCACACAGGCCACAATTATACAAGCTAAGTTGCCTTGAGTAAAATACTTCTTGTACAGTATTTCTTGGAAGGAATTGTACTTGTTGCATGCCATAAGCAATAGTGTATATATTTGCCTTCCTTTCTTTAAGAATATCATAAAGAGCTTTTGCTCGAAGCTTGTGAATTCTCAGCTTAATCAAATTGTTGCTTTTTTTCAATATCATTGCAATTTTCAATCATGTGGCGGAGATTGTCACATGTTGTGCAAGTATCAGAAGCATGTTGTTTATATAAAATATTAAATTCACCAACAAATATTTTGTAAAAATTCACCAACAAACATTTTGTAAAAAACAGAAAGATCAGTCAAAAGTGACTTTTTTAAGATATTGTACACCTTGTTAATATTTCTTAAACATGTTGGAAAATTAAGTCTTACACTTTTTTGTGACTAGAATAACTTTCTGTAGCTCAAAGACTTGAAATAAAACTTCTTATGGCTACTTTAACAGTATTATATTTTGTTTCCACCTCGAGTTTCCTTAGCTAATTCACCTGATAAATAATAGCGAGACAACACACCATTTAATCGATTTCTCTTAATAGGAAATATTATTTGTAAGAAATATTTTTAACAAACAAGAGTATATGAATGGTTTTGGTTGATGTAGTATTGTGTAGCAATTTTTCTACATTTTGCATTTGTTGTTTTAGTTTTTTTGGTTTTCCTGCCTTAGTGTAAACAAGAATAATATTATCTTGTTATACTTTATTGTATGACTGAAACAGTATTTCTCTAAATTTCCGAACATCTTCGTCTGTAATTTTTTCACATTTGTAACTGCTGGCATTATTTATATATATATAATAATAATAATAATAATAATAAAAATAATAATAATAATAATAATAATAATATATATATATATATATATATATATATATATATATATATATATATATATACACATATATTATATATACAAAACTAAAGAATATACAAACTAAACTTAAAATCAAAATTATAATTTATTTGGCATAATTAAGAAAAAAAAGAAAGTCATTTTTATTTTTTAATAGAAACAACTTTGGTTAAAACAGAGCGGTTTAGTAAATGCTAGTAAAGAACATTGAGCACTCTTTTTGTAGAATACATTTTAAATTGTTTAAATATATATATATATATATATATATATATATATATATATATATATATATATATATATATATATATATATATATATATATATATATATATATATATATATATATATATATATATATATATATATTTAAACAATTTAAAATGTATTCTACAAAAAGAGTGCTCAATGTTCTTTACTAACATTTACTAAACCGCTCTGTTTTAACCAAAGCTGTTTCTATTAAAAAATAAAAATGACTTTCTTTTTTTTCTTAATTATGCCAAATAAATTATAATTTTATATATCTATATCTATATATATATATAATAATTATATCTATATATATATATATATATATATATATATATATATATATATATATATATATATATATATATATATATATATATATATATTTATATATATATATATATATATATATATACATATATATATATATATATATATATATAGAGAGATAAATATATATATTTATCTATATATATATAAATAAATATATATATTTTAAATTTTGATTGCTTTTTGATATATATATCTATATATATATATATATATATATATATATATATATATATATATATATATATATATATATATATATATATATATATACATATATATATACATATATATATATATATATATATATATATGTATATATATATATATATATATATATATATATATACATGTATATATATATATATATATATATATATATATATATATACATGTATATATATATATATATATATATATATATATATATATATATATATATATATATATATATTAACAACACTAACTGTTTTATACCTGTTTAGCACCAAATCTTCGAAAAAACTGTCAATTAAAAAAAAATTATTCTAATTTTCTTTAACACATAAAAATCACATATATATAAAAAAAATGTTTGAGACGAAAGTTTTTAAATTTAACAATTTTAATTAAACTACATATTAAAAAAATTATTCATGAATGAAAAAAAAAAAAAAAAACTAAAAAGTAATATGTACTTTAGGCAGTAACATAACACTTCCAATAACTTCTATAACACTAGCAAACATTAGCAATAAGCCAATCTGTGAGCTATTCATTGCTAACCCTCCTGAAAGAAATAAAAAACAATGTGAGTTTGAGTAAAAACGATTTTTATTTGGAAAAGCTTGTTTAATTTTTTTTAAGTTTTCAAAAATTTTTGAAAGTTAAAAAGTGCAACACGCAAAAACTAATCATCATATGATTTTCTAGTCATATGATCAAACCACAGCTGCTTTAAAGAAAATCTTAGTTAACTATGTTCACTATGATCTTAGTCCACTATGATCAAACCACAGCTGCTTTAAAAAAAATTTTAGTTAACAAACCTTGTGTATGACATATGCATAGTAATATGACAAGTGCAAAAATAATTAATGTATTTTATTGATTTTTGATAATAGAGATAAAGGTTTTAATTTTCTAATTAAAAATCTTTAAATCTATATCAAAAGTGTACTTCACTCTATATCAGAAGTAAACTATACTCTCCTAGATTTTTTAAAGTTCTTTATAGTCTTCTTTATGTGAAAAGTAAATTACATTCTCCCTTATATTAAAAGTTAACTATAGTCAATTCTATGCTATAAATAAACTAAATTCCTCTTTGTGTTAAAAAATTACTATAGCCATCTCTATATTAAAAGTAAAAAATATTCTACTCCATAAAAAAAATTAAGTATACTTCCTTCTAGTTATTATTGCTCTTTAGTTTATGTAGAATCTACAGTTGGACCTTGTTTAGTAAATTATTAATTTCAAACAAAAAATTAAAAAAAAAAAAATTATTACCAAACACATGCGAGGTTGCAAAATATATTGTTAGCAGATCATACAGACCAACTCCAACAATGCAAAACAGTAAATGTAAAAGCATAGCACACAAACAACTTTTGTTCCTAAAACAATTTTGTTAAAAATAAAAATTTATTCACTAAATATTATTGATATTAATCATAGATATTAAAGCCAAAAAACAATTACTATTGTTTTTTGGCTTTAATATCTATGATTTTTTTTTTTCTTTAACATGCACACAAATAAAAATCATTCTGTTATAATCCACTTTGATATAACATAGCAATTTCTATCTAAAAGTAACGACTGATAATAACTAAAAAATTTAGCAAATAAATATAGAAAACAGAAAATGTTTAATATGTCAACTATTATTTTTTATTATTTAACAGAGAAGCGGAGTGTTTTTTTTTAATTATTATTTTTTATATTCACCTCACCAAAGGACAGGCTACAAATTACTCACACACCTCCTCAAAGAGGCCGCTCTCTACTCATACAAACAGAGCAGCTGAAAGGAGAAACAAGCTGAGTACAGTATTATTAGAGATAAAGTGAAGTTTGAACTCACTACAACTCAACTATGAAGCAAGCGCTCTTCTAATGCACCACTATCACAATAAATGTTAAAAAATTGAGACAGATTTTAAGTCACACTACAAATAATCTAGACAAAAAAATTTTAAGTATAAAAATAAAAATAGAATAAATTTTCTAATTTCTAAATAAATTTTAAAATTCTAAATAAAGTTCTAATTTTTAAATAAATTTCTAGTTTCTAGACGTTCTGTTTTCTGAACATTTTTTAAATTCTAAATAAAAATTATAAAATATAAAATAATATAGTTTGTCAGGCGCATACTGAGTCCATTTTCCCTATTGGGAAACTGGATATAATTAGGGCCCTTTTACTATATACCAGTGAAGAACCTAGACATGTTTTAGTACCTTTGGACCGGTAGGGGCGCCCAAAAAAAAGCGCCTAAAAATTATTTTTTTAAATTTTGCTTTTTCATGAAAAATAGAAGAAAAAAATCCAGTTTTTAATGCAGTATTATATAAATAATTTTCAGTTAATTTTAGCTAATTCATTTTTTCTTCAAGACAACAAAATGAATAAAAAAGAAAATGTAAAAACTTTTTTACATAACTACGTAATTTGCCTTCGGTTACTAAGTGGCATAACTATTGTGCGAGTTAATTTTTTGAATGATTGAACGTTTGATCTTTAGCTTGCTATTATAATTTATGTGAGGAAAAAACGAAACGTAAACTTTTTCTGAAAGTTTTTTTTTTCAATATTCTTTAAAATAGTAAAAATAAAGATTTTAATAACTATGCTAGATAACAATAAATATGCTTTTAATTAAAAAAAAATTTCATTTTTAAAATTTTGTTTACTGCAATTATCTCTTCTTTAATTAGCTTTAATTTAAAAGATAATTTGAAATCACTTTAAAAATTTTTAACCTTTAGTAAAATTTAAATGAACAGGTTTGCTAATATTTAAATTAAAATTTTAAAATTAAATAATTAGTAAATAAATTTATTAAATGCTTATGTTATTTTTTCAAATAGTTTATTAAATGTTTAACGAATTTGTTTATTAAATGCTTATGTTTTTAATTTAAATACAAGACGTAAAACTATTTTGTTAATTTTATAAATATTACGCGATTTAATATATATATAAATATATTAATTAATGTAAATATTGATTAAAAATGGTTTAAGGTATTTAAACATTTAAACACTAAAACTAAATTTACAAAAATATAATTATTAAATGTTTAAAATACATTGAACAATTTTTAATTATTATTTACTTATAGAGTGGTACTTCCAACAAAAGCGTTAATTAAAGTCTTAAGTAGCTTTCTTATTGTATCTAAAGTAACATCGTCCTCCAGTAAATTCATGTATTCAAAAAAATAATTATTAAAAATTATTCTTGCAGCCCTATAATAATAGCAAGATTATCTACCTATTTCTTATACTAAGAAAAAACTATACAATTAACATTAACCTTAATAATAAACTAAATCTACATTTTAATATTAAAGTCTACAAAAATAAATAAATACACAATAATATTAAGATAATTATTTTTATTTAAGTGATCTTAGTTCCATAGGATAAATTACAAAATATGGATAGCATGTTATTAAAAATAGTTTTTTTAGTTTTTTAAAATCAGTTTATTTTAAATAGTTTCAGGAAATAATGTAAAAATAGTTGAAATAGTTCAATAAATTGTTTAAAAACTAAACTTTTAACATTCTTAACATTTCAATACTTTTTTCACACATTAAGTCAATGAGTTGATCCGGTGTAATTTCTGACAACAATTTCTATTCACAATTCATCAAAAACAATGATTTCAAATTCTCCAGTATTAAACAACTTCTTAAAAGTGTTTATATAATTTTAAGTTTCAAAAATGGTTGTTCACATGTTATTTGAGTAAGGGGACTTGTTAAAAGAAACTTGCATACTTCAAATAACTCATTATATTCTAAAGAATATTGAATTCATAAATAACGTTTTTTACTCATAATAAACATAAGTAACATTTTTTTTTTCTTCTACACTTATTATTATAATTTTCCTGAGAGTATTCAAAATTGTCGTAGTCTGAAACTTCTTGCAAATCACTTTGGTTTTGGTATACATCATATACATCTCTAATATCAGTTTTGGATATTTGAGGCCACAATTTCACAAATGATAATAACTGTTCTTCTATTTTATGTTTACGATATGAAGTGAAAGTTCATAAATTTTATGATTAGCTTCAGAATGTATTCCATTTTTAGCAAATTTCTTTAAACTTTTTTGGATCAAATAGTTCAAGATCACAATAAAGTTCTCTACTTTTTTTTCTTTAGTTTTTTTCTTTTTTCAGAAAGCTATAATTCTATATCAATGTCTGACTCATTGATATTTCTTATCTTCCCAAATTACACTGGATACAAATTCCATGAATATTTTTGCTCCTGCACTAACTGGTAAAAATTCTCTTTAATTTTTTTAAAAAATTTTATTGTTCCATTAATTTTTCATGCTTGAATATAATCAAGACCGGGTGTTTGTAGGTAATCAGATAGAGCAGTAGTAAACTTTTGCAAAAACATCATTGCTGTTTCAATACTGTTTCATAACGGGTAAGTTGACTTTTAAATTTTAAGCTATACTTCTTACACTGTTTGAAAAATTATTAGTAACAGAAATTTCATAAAGTGCAAATACAATTTGTGCATATACAAATTGCTTTCGATCATTATTCTTGTAATTTTTAATCCAAATATCGATAGGACCAAATATCTTTATAATCGCAAATTTTTATACCACCATTAAGTTTTACCAATATTTATTAAATGTGACGGATGACTGGGATTATTCTGATTTTCATAAACATTGAGTCTTTAATAAGATTTTTTGAAAAAAACAAATGATGTAACTGAACAAGAAGTAGTTTGTTGTAAAACTAGATTGAACACATGAGCGTGGCACCATGTATGAACTCCTTTATAATGACCATTCATATTGGCAGCACCGTCAAATGCATCTGCTACACAATTATCTAAACTAATGTTCATAGAATTTAAAGTTAATTTTAATAAATCAAATAGATCCTGCCCTGAAGATGAAATCACGTTGTTTAAAGCTACAGCTCGTTCCACAACTTCAACTATAGACCTGGTACCTTCAGTTCTGTCACTAACATATCGCAACAAATACACATTGATCATGGGTATATATATTTATAGTTGTATACATTGTAATTAAGTAAATGCCAGCTGAATTTACTTCTTCAGATATTTTTAATAATAATAATTTTCAAATAATTTGAATAATGTTTGTTACAGTTATAGGACTTAAAAAAATACACAAATTATATATAAGTGTATAACATAATTAGGTTCTTCACACCTAATAAAACAATTTTAACATTATAAACTATTTTCAAATTATTGTTTTAATAATTTGTATTACTAAAGAAATGCAATATTTTAGAAATGAAAAAAAAAAGATTATGAAATGAAATTACTGAATTTTATTGAAACTACAGGTACCTATTTGGTAGGGGGCCCAGGTCTTATCATTTTTAAGAGGCTTTTATCATTTTTAAGAGTACTTTTTACCAGGATTTTCCTGTTATGCCAGTGGGCAAGTACGCGCCTGTAGTTTGTTATAAATTATAAATTATATATAAAAATATATTAAACCATTTTTATTTTTCTTAAATAGCTAATTCAGACTTATTCAGTTTTTTCCGACTATTTTAAAATCAGTCACAGTGAACAAAAAATTAAAAATAAAATAGCTTTTAGAATTTATATACCTTATTTGTTTCAAATATAAAAACAGAAACAAATATTCCATATCTTATGAACCAGTAAACTGTGTTGAATTCATTTGTAATATTTTTTAATTTAACATTCATGCAATGTTTACTGTAAGAGTCCTAAATACATTTCTTACATGGTTAACTGAAGTGATAAAAAATTTTATTTTTATAAAACCGCTTTTGTCTATTTATGTATGGTTTCTATTGCCATCTTAAGAAAGTACAAGAAAAAAACAATCAGTTAATTTTACACTTTGCCTAAATGGATAAAGTTGGACAAAGAAATTTTGTAACTTGGATTAAAAAACATTTAGAATGTAGTAAAGTTAAAAAAACAAGCAATACACAAAATTTTAATTCACCTATTCATGCTGCATTTACAGATACAACACAATCAACAACTTCAATTACTCTTACTATCAAGCTGAAATAACAACTACATAATGAAAGCTTTTACTTGGACGCATTTCAACGAGAAATCGCTTGTAAAATATTGTATTTCTAGGTATCTAAGAGTATTTACAAAAATCCACTGAATATTTCTTTAACCTTTTAGATTTTGAGTTCAAGAGGACTCATACACCTTTTGAAGGTTTATAACTTTTTTTGCAATGTTATTGTAACTTAGCAGAAGTTTAATTTGATTCAATTTTATTGTAGCTTAGCAGTAGTTTAATAGCTTTAATGGTCTTAACAAAAATTTTTTTTTTTTGCCATTTTAATATCTTTTCAGAAATAATCACACTGATT